TGTTTAGCAAAGGCCACCTGGTTAGATAACACTGGAGACTCTACCAATAGAGCTGGCCCTGCCCAATCAAAACCTCCACATACCATAGAAGGGGATTAAGTCCCCATGGTGCACTTGAGGAATGTGTTAGGGAAACCTGCCTCAAGCAAAGACAAACCTATCTGTGGGATTGGTTTTGCTCAAGGACTTGAGTGCACTTGGTGGGTTATACAGAGAGATGGGGAGACATGATGTGTACCTCAAGGGGATTTGATTTTTGGGTGAGAATAGTCTGTAATTTTCAATTCTGTAATACTGGTTGCTGAATGACACTGCCGCTGGATGCCATAACCATGGACAATGAGTATGGACTGCTCCAGATATACCAGTCGTTAGCTCCTGATCCAGCTTACAACCTCCTGACAACACACCAGCCCTCCTGGAAGCCTCAGAAGACATCTAGGATGGATAGAACCCACAGTCATGGACTAAATAAAGTCAACAGACACCTTGGAGGAACAGCAGTTCACTATGGAAATGATATCTCTGCTTGTGTATATATGTATATAAATGTATATAGTTGGAAGGTGTAGGCTCTGGGATAATGTCCTGGTTCTGGGCAGGACAGGGTGAATTTTTGCAGCAACCGGGAGGAGGCATGTCTGGGACACGAGGCTGTTTTATACCACCTCACATCACTGTGAGGGGCAGGGGAATGGGACTGTGTTCCATGGGGAAGGAGTTCCTTCCAGTCAAGCAAACATGGTTGAGGGAGACATCTGGTATTGTGTTGGGGGGAAGCGGGAGTGTTCCATCTGAATCATTACTCTTCTTATACCCTCTATTCATTAATATTGTTGCTATTACTGTTCATTTCCTTATTAGTGTTTCCAGTAAATTGTTCTTATCTCAACCCATGATCTTTGCATTTGCAATTTTCCAATTCTCCTCTCATCCTGCCACAGCAAGGAGGGGAGGGGAAAACGGGGGAGCAAGAGCATCAGTGTGGTTTGGAGAGTCTTAGTGAGAGCATTGAATTGGGGAGTACCATTCCTAAAGCATGACAAATTATTACTTAAGGGACCCGTAAAAGATAACCTATTAAAACAAATTGAGTTTCATATATTATTAATTCATATAGTGGGACGTGATTGTAAGAAGTGCACTTTTATACATATGACCTTGAAATTAATAAAACAACTTTTTTAATTTCCATTTTAAATGTAGAATGCAATTAACAGCACATCATCAGTGTTGAAGACAGAAGAGAAGAAAGTATTAAACATCTCTACCTTTTCTATGCCCCTTTTTATGAGACTCTTCTTACTATATAATAGACCAATGTTATTTCTGTGCAGTGCCTTTTGCTATTGACATATTAAAAAAAGATTTTGATTTTCTCCACAATATTGGCCAACTTTAACTCTAATTGAGCTTTGGCCACATGAATTTTCTCTGTAGGATCTCTTTATTCCTCCCATGTCATTTGACCTTGCTTCCACTGGCCATACACTGTCTTTCTTTGCCTTTGCTCTGGAAGAAGATCCCTGCTCAGTCAAGCCGACCTTCTACCTTGTCTACTTGACTTCTGATATTTGGAATCGCCTGCTCGTGTTCTGTTAGGCAGTGGTGCTTAAAAAGTGACCAGCACTGATGGACACCAGCACCTTCAAAAGCGTTTTCCCAGGGAATCTTACTGACTACTTCCTTGAGCAGCCTGAATCTGATTTCCTCATATCCAGGACTGAAGTTTTGATGGCACTCTCCTGTTATCAGAGATTGCTGCATGGTTTCTGTGGCCAGAATGGTCACCTATTGCCACTTAAATCAAGAACCCCTCTTTTTTGACAAATCAAATCAAAGCAACAAATCAAGGAAGGCAGCTTTTCTAGTCGTCTCTCTTAGTACCTGTACCATGAAGTTATCATACAGGTATTTTAGAAATCTTTTGGACCTGTTTATATGAGCTGTATGGTATTCCCAGTTAACATCTGGGAACTGAAGTCCCCCATAAGGACAAGGGCAGTCGATTTGGAGATGCCCCTTAGTTCCTTAAAGATTTAACTCATCACTGTCATCATACTGGGTGGATGGCTTATGGTAGACCTCCACAATCACATCAACTTTGTTTGTCCCTTAGTCCTTATACCAAGGCTCTCAAATGTGCCATTTCCAGCTGCAGACGCCATACATTCCAGCCCTTCCATTACATACACTACCACTACCCTGTCTTGCCTGCCCTGCCTTATCCCCCCTCCAGAACCTGTAACCATCCACCGTGGTACTTCAGTCACAGAACTCATCCCACAAGGTTTTGCTTATGCCGATGATGTAATTTCTCTCGGACTGGGTCAAAGCTTCTGTCTCCTCTTGCTTGTTTCTCATGCAGGATACGTTGGTGCTAGGAACATTTCAAGTGCAGTTCATTGTAGCCAACACATTGGGAAGCAGACTGAAGGATCTCACTAGCACTAAGTCCCTCAAATTTTGGTGTTCTGTTGCATTATCATTGGCAAGCCTGATTTTGTCCCCTTCCGCCTTCCAATCTGGTTTAAAGCTCTATCAATCAGCCCTGCTAACTTCAGTGCAAAAAAGAAAACAGCATCCCATCAGGTGTCAGTAGAAGTGGTGTTACACACTGTACTTAGCCCTGGGGTGACTAGCGTGTTTGATGATACAGTGAAAATCTAACCCTCTCGACAGGGCTCACTGGAAGTAGCTATCGAAGTAGCAGGTATCCCTGTACTTGGAACCAAGGAGATGTTTGAGCTGTTTCTGCCATTCTTCTTCAGAAACTCTCCCTCCTCCAGGTGTGGCTTCTATCTGTCCACTTTCTCTACTGAAAAACCTTCCTCCCATCACTGCTTCTCAAACTTGGTACCCAAGAGGGATTTCTTGGAAATGCGATCTCCCTCTGGGAAGCTGCAGCTTGGCCACATGCCTTCCACCAGGCAGGGAATGATTTATTAATAAATTATCTGCACTGAGCTGATGTCTGCAGGTATTTCTACATTTCCAGAGTATAGTCGTATGTGCTTTGGTATTTGAGTGATAACACCTCAAAACTTATATTGACACCGAACAAAATCATAATGAGAAGAAGGGATGTTTGGGAATTGGGTCTTGTAAAGAATTTTTAAGACAGACATTTTCCTTTAAATATTAATGCATTTTTAAAAGACACTACTTCAAACACAGAGCTATTTACTGAAGCTATTTACTTCAGGCTTTTCAAAATAATTCAGCAAATGGATAAGACACTGGTTTATCAATTAAAGTCAAATAGGCTTTCTTCAAAGGAAGAAGAATTAGGCTTTAAAATTAGTCTTCATATGAAAAATAAACTTCAAATTTAGTCTTGAAAAATGTTCTGGTCAAGTTTGGCGACCAAATAATGAATTGTGACAGATTAATAGGAAATTAGTTCAGATATACATATAATTGTGAAACCTTTATCCAGCATTAGTATTTATCAGTATACAACTTGTCGCTTTGATTTTGTGAATAAAGATTACACTTTTCTCATAGATTATGTGTATCTTACTTGTCTAATAAATGAAATTATCTTCTTTGAAATTCTAACAGTTTAGCATTGCTTAATTTTTTTTGTTTCCTCTTTTTTTTTTCTAGGCCTGTTTGTTATTTTTCTTGTTTTATATTAATCTATTCCAAACAACTTATCTTAGTGTTTCCCATTTAAGTGTCTCAAAAAGATAGCGAGAAGAAGTTACGCTAATAATAACGAAATAAGGAGTCACTCTACCCAAAACAAGCTCTACCAGGGGAAAGCAACACTGATTTTTGTCTGTTAAATGAGCATCACCTTTATTTCAAACACACCTGTGTTCTCCAGATGTGTGTGTAAGCAGTCTGTCAATCAGCACCAGCAGAAGAGTGCCTGTGTACACAACTGACCTCTGTTAGCCTTCTCTAAAGCTTGCTATGTTGTTATTTTTTTTTTGCTTTGACTTTTTAAACTTCTTTCTTTATGGGTACCGAAGCCTTATATTATCTTTATATCTTTGTCTCATCAACTCCCCATCTCTTTTCCTGTCTGGTCTGAAACTCTGTATCTCCTCTCCACAGCACATCTCTAAAGTTCCCTGCCTGCTCCTTCTTGCTTGTGTCACATTTCTGCAATGGAGCTGCTTAACTGCACAAGGGTGAGGGCATGATTTACTGGTAGAAAACACACTATGAAATCCATGTTGCCACAAAAATCACAAAAAGCAGGGACTGCTTTCCTGCCATGGGGACCTTATGGATGACCACTGTCACCTGGTAGAGAGCATGGATCAGGGGTGGGCAAGGCATACCACTGGGGCTTTGCACAGTGGGGAAGGGACTGAGCAAACACTGGAGATTTTGTGTTTTCCTTCAGCAGCTTCTTGAGATTGTACACTTGCAGTCCAGCTCTGCTTCCAGACCCATAGTATACCTCTACAGGTGAAGGATGCTTCAGATATTTTTTCTGCTTCCAGAAAGACAACAGGCTTGCAGAGTTGGCCCAAGGCACAACCAAGACATGCCTATACAGAAGCTTTGAGCATACCTGGCATATAGCCAGTCTTCTAAACAACAGTGTGGACATTGGTGCAATCTCATCTTCCTTGGGGAAGAGTGTGCCCGCTGGAGGTTGGGTGGAGATACACATACTAGCAATACAAGTGGTTGTGGGCGAATGCTGGACAAACATTTTGTCTAAATATAAGATGTGGTTCAAAATCAAGAACTGATATCTAAGACTCCTCTCTGTTGCTGTGAATTATGTATCATCACTGTATGTCTTTATTACAAAGTGTATGTGTTTCCAGTAGGCATGAAGAATTTAATGTGATTGTGGTAATGATGTTAAAATGTGTTCAGAGGAATACTGTAACATAGGTATAAATTGCTATAAGGGGTTGAGTAGTGCAAGACATTGTGGATAGTTGTGCATTTAGCATCTAAGAATAAGCAAAGTCAAAGCCTTCAATCCCAATGGTTTATGCTTACTTGGAAAAATGTTTGTCTGACTGCAGGCATGGAACCCGTTGTGCTGGAGAAGTGGCAGCCACGGCAAACAACTCACACTGCACAGTAGGAATCGCCTTTAATGCCAAGATTGGAGGTATGTGAAACAATCTCCCACCAAAACCAAAAAAAGTAACCAAAGAGCCATTTGTGATAAATGGTGCATTCAGACCCTTCTCAACAAGAGAAGGAGATTTGTATGGACAACAAACCTAGCTGTGTTAGCAAGTAAAGCTCATCTGTGGAGTGGTTGTTCAGTATCAGTACTGAAGGAGTTTGTGTGCAGTGGCCCTTCTGCAGTGCCCTCTGGAACACTGCCTCTCAGTACAAACCAAAAAATAGAAAGGTGAGGCTTTTGATGGAAACACAAACCCCAGAATTAGGACATTTGGGTTTTCTCACATATTCAGAGCTCTAAGCGGTGAACTTTGACAAACCATGAGTAAATGCACACATCAGGAATATTGCCTTGCATATTGTTCCCAAAAGACCACTGTCAAAACATAATGCATTATTGTGTTGTTTGGCTGTGGTTGGAGAGAATGTTCTTTTGATCCCTCTATATGATCAGATTATTGCCTAGAAAATAAGATTCAGTCGCCCATTTTTGTTCATTCAGCCAAGAGTTTCAAGAGGTTTCTGTGAATTCATAGTCATTGGCTGCTCAGTGAAGATCTTTAGTTTAGTTTGTGGTGATGATTATCAAGATGTCATCTACATGTCTCCTAGGATGTAGCCTCTCTGTGACAGGTTGTAACACTTCTAGTGAAGTTTTACCCTGAGCTTTAGATGAAGTCATGGGATTGGTATATTGGCTTTCCGTAGAAAGACCTGTAGCTCAAACTCATTAATTGTTGATTTTTGAAATAGAGCCTAAAATAGAGCCCATCTGTGAAAACAGAAGCATGTTTACCTATATATACACCAGAGAACAGTTCAAAAATATGAGCCGGCAGAGTTGAGGCCATGTTTCCGCAAGTAATAATACTGCATCTGTTCTCTACTAGATCAGTACAAGTTTGATCCAAATCAAATGTGAGCACATCTGCATTTTAAATTAGCCAAAGCACACATCAACATCTTCATGTCAGCTTTCTGTTTTCCTGCTGGCTTCAAGAGGGTAGACAATACCTGATCCAGCATAAGTGTCGTGGGTTGACCTTGGCCGGATTCTAGGCACCTACTAAAGTCGCTCTGAGCTGAGAGAGGTCACACAGGCAAAACAAACTCAACTTGGGGTTAATACTAAAATTTATTTCTAATAGGATAAGATCTAAAGAGTGAGAAATAAAACAGTCTTAAACACACTTTCCACCTACCCCTCCTTCCTTCCGTGTTCTCCCTCCTCCCCCTGCAGTGGGGCAGGGAGACAAGTCCACCCCTTGGGCAACAGGTCTTCCAGATCTGCTGTCCTGTAGGTCACTCTTCCATGGGCTGCGGGGGGACAGCCTGTTTCACCATGGTCCTCACCACAGGTTACAGGAGGGCCACAGGTCTGAGTCCTTCCCCTGCTCTGTGGGGTCCCTCCCATGAGTAACAGTCCTTGGTGGACCTCTCCAATGTGGGTCCATCCCTCAGGCAGTAGTTTTTCCATATCTACTGCCCCAAGAGTCACTTCTCCATCCTTCATAGGATGCGGTCCTTCATAGGGTGAGCTGTACAGTTGTAGATCCCCCACAGGGCCACGAGTCCTACCCGGGAATAACCTGCTCTGGCATGGATTTTCCTCTCCATGGGCCACAAGTCTCTTGAAGGAGTCTGCTCCATCCTGGGCCTTCCACAGGGGGTAACAGCCTTCTTCTATGTATCCATCTGCTCCAGCATGGGCTTAGCTGCACCGTGGCAGGCCACCCCAGCCCAACCCGGCTTGACTTGCCCGGGGAGGGAAAGGGAGGCCAGTGGCCACTGGCAGGGGCCTCTTTGCCACCCTGGCCACTTTGGCACCCCCTCCACCCCCCCTCGCAGTTCACCTTGGAGGCTTTGGCGCTCAGGGTGCTGTTCGGCTCCTTGGGCAGGGTGGGCTCCAGCATGGGCTGCTCGCAGGGCGGGCCCAGGAGCTGCGTAGCTGCTCTCCATGGGGCCACATGTCCTGGGCCTGGCCCCGACCGCCCCTTCACAGGGGCCGCTGGTGCCTGCTGCGGGCTAGGTACCAAGAGGCCTGGGCTGGGCTGCCACTGCCTTCCCGGCAACCCTCCCTTGCCCCCGCTGCGGGGGAGGCAGCGGAGCCACTCAGGAGCTTTGGTCAGCTCTCCCCTGGCTCGAAAAATTCTTCTGCTCAACAGCTTGTTCTTAAATATGTTATCACAGAGGCGTGATTATTGGCTCTCCCTTGGCCAGGAGCAGGAAGTCCCTCCTGTAGCCAGCTATCCTTGGGGAGAAGACTTCTGGCAGCTTCTAACCAAAGCCACCCTATGTAGCCACCCCCACTGCCAAAACCCCAGCCACCTCAACCCATGACAATAAGGGTAGAGTGACGCAGGAAGAAAAATTCCTCTCGGGTGGAGAGCCTGCCTGCACAAAACTACCCTGTCAGAATGATTTAGAAAATCAGAACTGGTCAAGTGAGTGAGTTTATGACAGATGAACAGGTTGTCTCATGTGGACATGGCATTTAGCCATGTACCAGCAGCTATGAAATCAGATTTGTTGAGTTGTCAAACCAGAATCAGAAGAGAGTTAGTGCACTGATAGCGATAAGGGATGGCTTCTGGAGAAGTTTTATTTGTGAATAGTCACACAACTTGCAACAGCTTGGGCATGGCCTTGACATTAAGCTTCCTCTTCCACTAGTTGAATTTACTTAAGAGTTTTGCTGCTGCTGACCTATATTTGGAATGCCTCAGAAAAGCCATAAGCTACACATTTGAATGTGCAATGGCTGTGTTCCCTTTCCACAGGCCACATAAATTGTGAAAATATTGAATCATATCATGCTGAACTAGTATTCAGCTTGCTTGTTTCCCAGGGATTTAAAGACCCTCCTGGAGCTTTCTTGAAGAAGAAACTAGAGTTGAGGTAAAGCAATTACATTGTCCTTGCATAGAGGAGCACCTGCTGACAGGCTGTGATGTTGAATTTGCTCCATCAAGATAAGTATTTTTTACTTCAAACCAAAAAGCATCTCTGGACACATAAGGGATCCAAAGGAGATAAAGCAAAAGGGAAAAAAGTCTGTTCCATCAAATGCTGGCAGCTGAACAAATCCAATTAATGATCTTTATGATCAGAAGTTGTTAACAAGACACCCATCAATAATGTTCCCTTTTTTTCCTAAATGTGTTTGTACTCCTTTTCTCATTTCTGAACATTTAAGAACTTCTGACAACAAATAGGTAAAAAACAAGATCCTTAGAAAGTCTAAGCTTTCTCTTACAATGGTGTGAGGATGTAATCTGCAGAAAAGAGAATTTGAGTAAAATTACAATCTGGACCTTCAGTTTTTTACAAGTTGCTTATAAAAAATTGTGAAAGATTTTGCTTAGCTAAGCTGCAGTCCCCCTTACTACAAGACAAACCAGTGCACTAAAGGGATAGATCATTTTTTTAAAGTTATTCTCTGCAGTAATCACACAAAACAAGTTACCATGTACAGAGCTTGTGAGACTTTTTATAGAAAAGATTGGTTAGCATGCTATTATTGTTGCAAACTGATTGTGGAAATTGCAAAGCATCTGTGGGGATTTGGGTGCTTGGCTACCTGGCTGGGCTCAAGTCCTGATGGGAAAACAGTTACAATGAATTATGGCACAAGATGTATATTGTCATCAGTTGATGAGGAATTAGTTTAGCTGTTTCTTTAAGTTTAAGGCAGATGCTGATTAAAAACAAGCATTTTAAAAGAAAACTTGCTTTCAGCTCAGTTTTGTGTGTTTTCTGTGATTCATTGAAATTTTGTTCTGAGTTAAATGCCACTTATAATTTGGGAATTACTGCAAATGCTAGGAAAAGTTTGCGGGTCTCTAAAGTCTTAGGCAGAACAGTCTGCAAACGCAGTCTTTTAATTGCCTTCTGGACAGCTTTTGTTGCCCTATCACCACATGCCAAATGCAGTATGAAAGTTTTGTGATCAGCAGAAGTACTACAGACATTGGGAAGAGGGAGGGAAGGAAGGAGGGAGGGAGGAAGGAAGGAAGAAAGGAAGGAAGGAAGGAAGATTATTTTCATTGTAAATAGCCAGTGAGATGTCTGTTATTCAAAGTCATCTTTCACAGAATCACAAAATCATTTAGGGTGGAAAAGAGCTCTTAAGATCACTGAGTCCAACCTTTGACTGATCACCACCTTGTCAACTCAACCACAGCACTTAGTGCCTCATCTAGTCATTTCTGGTGCAGCTTGAGGCTGTGTCCTCTCATCCTGTCACTAGTTGCCTGATAGAAGAAGGCAACCCTTACCTTGCTACAGCCTCCTTTCAGACAATAGTAGAGAGTGATAAGGTCTCCCCTGAGCCTCCTTTTATCCAGACTAAACACCCGCAGCTCCCTCAGTCATTCCTTGTATGACTTACTCTCTAGGCCCATCACCAGCTTTGTTGTCCATTTCTGGACATGCTCTAGCATCTCAATATCTTTCTTGAAGTGAAGGGCCCAGGACTGGACACAGAACTTGAGATGCAGCCTCACCAGTGCCCAGTACAAAAGTACAATCACTTCCCTAGTCCTTCTGGCCACACATTCTTGATACAAGCCAGGATGCCATTGGCCTTCTTGGCCACCTGGCTGCACTGCTGGCTCATTTTTAGCTGGCTGTTGACCAGCACATCCAGGTCCTTTTTCCTAGGCTGCTTTCCAGCCACTCTTCCGCAGCCTGTAGCAGTGCCTGGAGTTGTTGTGACCCAAGGGCAGGACCTGGCACTTGGCCTTGTTGAACCTCACACAGTTGATCTTGGCCAATGGCTTTGGTGTGTCTGTCTGTTGTTGGCCAGAGAGAACAACACATAAGTCACAGCCTTGTCGCTGTTGGTTTAGAGTAGACTGCTTCACCATCAGCAAAAAAATTCTGGTGTGAATTAATTCAGGTGCCAGTGGCAGAATTTGGAATTACTGTTCACCAGTTGTATATAGCATTTAGACTTGCTACACAGTTACAGAGCCATAAAGGAGAGTTTTATTTTCCTTCTTTCAAAACCAGTGTACTTTTATTGTCTTTATTTAGAACTGATTTTTTAATTATTAATATTTTAATGTGCTTTAAAGAAATTGAGAACACAACTTCCACCCAGCATTAATTTTCTTAGATTTTGCTGAGGTAGAAAAAAAACAACACTAGAATCCTAGAGCTGGCTTAATGACTCTTTTTTATAAAGTCCGTAGTGTGATCACAGTTTGTAAAAGTTTATTATCTCACAAAACATAAAGAAGGACCAAAATATTTCAACCTTTTTATATTTTTTTCATCGAGAGATATTTTTCCCTGAAAAATATATATCCAAACAGATTTTTTGCTTCTTTTCTCTAACAACAGTAGAAATCCTTATAATCATTCATTACAATGTTATACACAACAATTTTCCCCAGGGGAAAAGAAGAAACATTCTGAGTTGGTCAGTCCTGTTCATTGTATCTTTTGTTCTGAAGGTGTACGGATGCTGGACGGAGATGTGACAGATATGGTAGAAGCAAAGTCTCTAAGCCTTAATCCCCAGCACATCCACATTTACAGTGCCAGCTGGGGGCCTGATGACGATGGTAAGACTGTGGATGGTCCTGCTTCTCTAGCACGTCAGGCCTTTGAGAATGGCATCAGAATGGTAAGTTCGCATCGAAGTGCATCTCCTGGATCTGCTCTCATGTGCAAGTATAAGGGTACTTGTGCCCAGTACGTGCAAGTGCACAGCATAGGGAAAAGGAAAGGATTCTGAAGGAAAGAAGAAAACTTCCTTTGCATAAAACTAAAAATGCATTTTCCTTTGATAGTGACCTGATAGTCAGTCCTGAAGTATCAGCTCTGTTCATTTTCAGCTGAAATACGTCATCGTCAGTGTCCTTAAAACTACTCTGAGGTAGTGTTGTAATTCTACAAGAAATAAGATGACTGAAAAATGCTACTTCGCACAGCAGTGTGAGCTCATCAAATATGAGTTGTAAGGAAATTCTAAAGCAAAAACTTTGACTGCTTTTCTTTCTGTCTTCCTTCCTTTCTTTCATTGATTTGTTTCACTTGATTTCTTAGTATAAGAAGTTGAGGTCTAAAGAAAGTCTACAGCCATGTTTCTTTTAGTGTTTTTGTCTGGTCTCAGAGAATTCGCAATACTGTGATTAAGGGGACACTAATGGAAGTGCAGGAGGCAGGAGAACTTGTCCAAAAAAGTTTTATGTTTAAACATGTTTATGTGTTAGTTTAAATGTCATATTTCCTGTAGGGAAGACAACTGTGAAAAGTTCAACCTGAATTTCTGTACTCAGCCATTTCCTTATTGAAATCTCAAAGCACTCAAACTGGGAATAAATATGATATAAATCAAGAATGTGGAATAATTTTTTAAAAACATGGATCTTGCCTAAAAACATTATTGTTCCATTGTTATTATTAGCAGTAATATTAGAAGATACCCTACAGAACCCAGATGAATTTAATTTTACCATTGTTCTATACTGTACTGGTCTAGAGTGAAAACACAGTATTTAATTTTAAAATTCAGAGGTAGTCTTTTTCTGATAACAGTGTGGAAAAAGTATGCTATATTTTTTTGAGAAATAGTAGAAGTCATATTTGATGCAAATCAAATTATTATTTTTGCAATTTATTTTCTATTTCATTTTTTCAGCATCTTATTCTGCCTGTAGGTGCCCATGAAGAGTTGAGTAGACCTAAATATTTCCATATTTGGATATTTTGTCTGGCTCTGACTACAAATGCTTTTTCATTTCTACTCAAGAAATAGAAGTTCTTTTTAAAACTTACATGAAAATATACTGATAAGAAATGCAAAACATTTAAGGTTACTCTCTAGTTTTCATCTCTTAAAATATGATATAGGCTGAAAGATTGTAAATATATGTTGCAATTACCACCTTCCCTAATAGGCTGTTTCCAGACGGAAAATTACTTCAAGATGAACCTGTTCTCTCTCTTTTTAATAAAACTGTGCCTTCCCATGTTCAGGCAAAGGTGTTTTTTCTATATTTCATTTCACTGTCAGAAGCTGTGTCATTTTAAAAGATGTGGCAAATGGAAGAAGAAAAGATTAGTTTTCTTTTTTGGGAGAAGAAAAGATTAATTTCCTTTTTAACAAAATATTCATAAAATGAGATCATTGTTCAAGGTTGTGACTAGATACTCAGCCAAACATAGATTTCCCTAAGCAGTCACAGTAATTGTGCAATAATAATAGGGAGACAATTATGCTTATTATGTTGTGTCCAGATCTTGACTTCCCTTTTTCAGAAATATTGAACTGAATATACTGAGCATCTAGGGTAGCATCTGTGGTGTAAATTAAAATAAGATCAGTACAGGAAACTTTGACAAAACCTTCTTTCTGACCTACAGGAAGTTTCAAGATCAGTATTCTTAATTTGTTATGCATATACATGTACAACTGTATATCACATTTTTAAAATGGAACAGCAGAGGGAATTATCAAGAATTTTTAAAAGCATCTGAAAAGTAAATTATGCCATCTGGTTTAATTAGGAAAATCAAAGGTAGTGCTGAATAATAGCTTTGAATAAAGTATAAGTGAATTAAATTATTATTTTTAATTTATTATAGTCATTAAGTAAAAATGAAATGGATGCAAGAGCCACTGTTTTTTGTTGAGTTTGGTGAGAGACTAGGATCCATTTAAAAAATGTCTGGTTTATCTTAAGCGCATATTATTCCAATTAACAGCTCATACAGAGTGTTTTATAAGTATTATTATTTTGAAATCTGCTGAGCTATTATGATTACTCCTTCCAAATCCTGCAGATAATAACAAAGATGACTGCATAGTTTTTCTATAGAGTTACACTGAGATAATATATGCCTTGAATTGAAATAGAAAAATCTATTTAAAGAAAGGCTACTGAGGGTAAATGAATCTATTAGATGACAACCTAACCCATAAGTTAAATATGCTTTAAAAATTCTGCCCAGGATCAAGGTAAAGGAAGAGGAAACCAGTTTTTAAACCTTTCTCAAGTACCATGATTTTCTGTCATCTCTAAGGGTATTTTGTTTAATTCTATTAAATTTGCATACTTGAGTTCAAAGGGAGAGCTTAGAGACTCCACTATCAAACAATTTCTATGCAAATACAAAACTCCCTTTATATCATGCTTTCTGTTGACTAGGTCCTTTCTTGAAAATAGTATAGCCATAAGGGTGGAAAATTCTCAAGGCTTGTGTTTTCAATACCAGTGTATTAGAAATATTGGACCTAATAATCTTAAGAAAAAATCCATTGTAATCATGCAGAACATGCCTGAAAAAATATCTGACAAAGGGTGGTCTATCCAGAATTAATATATTGAATATCACATTTCACCCTGTGTTCAGGAACAAACAGGCTTAGCATTGCGAAACATGATTATGGTTAAATCATGTAGTAATACTGTGCTGAGTCTGGGACAAAAGAGAGAACACAAAAACCTTTCCTTGATTCAGAAAGATAAAATCTTAAGTACCATTAGATTTTAAGATGCCTGTTTGTATCTCTCACAGTCTATAAGTACAATGCTATATGCACTTGAGGGACTTGGTCTTGCTGATTCATGGCTCTGCAGTGCAGCATTCAGGCTGGTTCATTTGTATTCATACAAATAAGCCTGTTATTCTGGGATAAGTGTCAACATCACTTGGAGAGGAATGCATTTCAGATATTCAGACTTGTTCTCTCACTGCTGTTTGGCAAAGACCTTATAGTCAAGTTTCTGGACGTGTGACCCCTGTGGATGTTCTATGTTGCAGGGTTTCAAAAATCTAATAGGTCACCTCTCGAAACGTCTCACCAACTGCATGCTTGTTCATTCTGTAGTACCCGTAAGAAAGTACAAATCAGCAGCAGGACATGTCATCCTTAATATAAACTAAGAGGGTGGAGAGGAAGGGAAATCCACGTGGAAACTTTTGGCACAGGGGCCTTCATCTTATTGCCATGACACCATTCTGTTAAGCAGGCTGGACACAAGCCAAAATATTTGATGGACATTAATGACCAGATTCTGTGTGGCTGAACCACTTGTGCAAACTCAGCTTGATGCTTTGCCTCCCATCATCACTGCCCCTTCTCATCTCTCTCGCTTCACCAACTTTGGCTGCAGAGTGTGTTCAAAGTGCTTGCTGGGAGCAGAAAGGCTGTCTTACAATCACTAAAGAAGCCTCCAACCCACATGCAGGGGAGAGAAAGAAAAACAAAAAAGGGAAAGGAGAAATTAAGAAAAATAATTTCACATTTTATTATTATTGTTGTTGGTATTAGTATTACTACTACTACTACTACTACTACTACTACTACTACTACTACTACTATATGGTTCTGCTCCAAAAGTGGCAAGAGATTGCTCATCATTTGCAAGTGTCCAGACAAAGGTGATACTCCCTGTGTTGTACCTCAGATGTTTCTATTAAATTTGTCTTGCCATCCCATCTTTTCATCATTCTGAGTAGGATGTGTTGCCTACACAAAGTGGAGTTATTCTGTTTTGCTTTGCCAGAGAATTGCATTACAAAAATCAGAAGTTACTTCGGGAAGACTTCCAGTCAAATGTGTCAAAGTATTTTCCAAAACGGCTGTTCTTTGATACATTTAAAGTGATGCACAGAGGTTTGGTTTAAACTGTGTATTGTGTTAGTTCATCTTGTATGACTGCTGTTTGAAACTGAATAACACATATCTGTGTGTATGCATATCTAATATATATCATATGTAGATACATTTTGTATGCACAAGACCTCTTGGACATTTTCAATTAGTTGGCAAAAAACTACTTGTTGAAGATCAATCAGAAGAATTAGTGCTGTGTTTGGGGATGGTTTCAGAAGATATGTCTTCCAGTATGCTGATGTAACCTAGTGCTAGGTCCTAGCATTTATCTCTTATATGATTTGAAAATATACTGTGTATCCTGATTGCATCTCTCATATAAAGTTTGAACATGTGATGCTATTTTTACTACAACATACCGAGTTAGACTTTGTCAGCTGTGTACTAGATGTGGATGCTGATTATAAATCAGAATTTGAAAAAGTCCTATGATGTTTTAACATTGTATTTATTCCTTCTGATGTCACAAGACATAGCACCATTGGCTTGAAATAATATTTATAGTTCTAACATCTGTCATCTAGACCTGTCTTTCTCGTAAGTCCAATCAGTAAAATTTCATCCAGTTATTGCTTCATCAATATCTCTGTTTTCCTGATTCATCTGTTATTTTATGGTTTCTGTACATCTTTTGTAAAGAGTCAGTCTTAACTGAAGTCTTATGTCCGTGGCTGTACAAGGCACTAGCAACCTTCACTACTGAAAATGTATAGCTTGTTACTCATCTAAGTTTCTTATTTTTCTTTCCGCTTTTGCTGTATTTCTGGTGCGTCTTAATGGTGTTAGAAACCACATGTAAGTAATTACAGATTTCAGCCAAGTGATCTCTTGGATAAATTAAATTGAAACATAGGAATATAAGACAGGAAAAGACCATGTAGCTTTCTCTGTTTTTGTTGGGAAACCATTTCACAGCCATCACTAATCTATTGGTTAGAGACTCTTCTAAGTTGCAACTGGGTTTACTCATGTACAGTTTTCTGTCCCTTTGTTCCTGGGCC